AGGTAGTGTGACCTAGCTCACAGTTTTATAGCCTCTGGCTCACATATTTTTGTCTTGGCTCAGGAAGGATGGCCCCGGAGCAAACTAATTCATGCTCACCTGCTCACAACTTTAATGCCAGTAGCTCCGAAGTAGAATTTTTGCTCACAAGACTCCACAGCTTAGAGGGAACATTGGCACTGGTATTTCTGGCCACTGTGGGACACAGAGTGTTGGACTGGATGGGCCTTTGGCCTGATCCAGCATTGGCGTCTCTTATGTTCTTATGACTCCCTGGCGTTGTACCCCACTGGGGTCCCTCCCCAAGCCCTGCATTCCCAGGCTCCACTCCCAAATCTCCAGGAGCGTCCCAACCAGTGTTCCTTCTAAGCTGAGTGAGTGTGAGCCAGCTCACAGTTTTTTAGCCTCCGGCTCACAGATTTTTGTCTGAGCTCGGGAAAGAGGGCTCCAGAACAAACTGATTTTATGCCGTAGCCAAATCGCTCGCTCACAACTTTAATGCCAGCAGCTCACAAGGTAGAATTTTTGCTCCCGAGACTCCACCGCTTAGAAGGGAGCACAGGTCCCAACGCAAAGATGGGAACATAAGAGATGCCAATGTTGGATCAGGCCAGTGGCCCATCCAGTCCAACACTCTATCACACAGTGGCCAGAAATACCAGGTGCCATCAGGAGGTCCACCAGTGGGGCCAGGACACTAGAAGCCCTCCCATAGCTGCCCCCCCCAAGCACCAAGAAGACAGAGCATCACTTGCCCCAGAGCCCCTATCTATACCTTGTGGCTAATAGCCACTGATGGAACTCTGCTCCATATGCTTATCTAATTCCCTTTTGAAGCCGTCCATGCTTGTAGCCGCCACCACCTCCTGTGGCAGTGAATTCCAAGTGGGAAGCTCACCAACACTGCTTTCTCTCTCTCTCGATCCTCATAGGCTCCCTTGAAGGTCCAGGAGGCCATTCCCGGGATCCTCTCTGTTCTGGCACGTCTCAGTGAAAAAGACAACGGGAGGTTTCTCAATGGCCAAGGGGGGACCCTCCCCTGGTAGCAGAGAGGCACGGATGCCGGAGACCACAAGCGCCGCTCTACATCTCAGCTCTGGCACAGGTGTGCCGCGACAGGAAGACGGATTCCTCTTTTTTATATATTGTTAGCAGTACTGTAACGAAACTTGAAAGTCACTCTTCTCATATTGTGCGTTTTTTCCCTTTTAGCCTTCTTGACAATGGCAAAACCTTAATAGCTTTGGATGTCTTCTTCATGGCTCAGGAAAAGCCAGTGCGGAACCGTAGTTTTGCAGGCAGGGTTTGCCTGGGGGCCAGTTTACAGGGGACACCACTCCCGGCCTTATCTCGGCTCTTGCCAGCTTGATGGCAGGGCTCCGTGACATCCATCAAAAGCGCCACATATTTTCTTCCTCAGTGGTTGCGCTTGGTGCGACACAATGATAGTTGTGCAGGGTGGTTCCCCCCCCCAACAGATGGATTCGCTGACAGAATTCCCAGGATCCTTTGCAGCGGGGCCTGGTGTGTTGTTTGGGCCTGACGTCCTTGCGTCCCACTATGTATGTGGTCCCCAGGAGCTTGAGTGAGCCAGCCTCCTGTTTGTGAACAAAAAGTCACCAGAAGACTGCATCCAAATGAATCTGGGAGTAGTTCAGCCCTCTGCATTATAGGGTTGACAGCTCTGGGTTGGGAAATTCCTGGATATTTGGGGGTGGAGCCTGGGGAGGGCGGGGTTTGGGGAGCCATTTTCTTTGCCTGAAAGTCAGTTGTAATTCCGGG